TGAATTTCTTAACATATTACAGATATTAATTCTATGTCAGATGAAAAGCTGGAAGACATATTCTACCATTCTATAGGTTATCTCTTCACTCTTGATTGGTTCCTTTGCTGTGCTGAAGTTTTTCAACAGATGTTAACCTAATTGTCAATTTTTGCTTCTATTTCCTGAGCTATTGGATTCTTATTCAGGAAATCATTATCTGTGCTGATATGTTGAAGTATTTTCTTTGTGTTTTCTTCTAGCAATTTCAGACTTTCAGGTCTTAGAGTGTGGCCTTTGATTCATTTTGAGTTGATTATTATATGAGTTTAAAAGATAGAGATTTAGTTTCTGTCTCCTGTGTGCAGATATTTCATTTTCCCTGAAACATTTGTTGAAGAGACTGTCTTGTTTTCATTGTTGGATACTCAGGATCCTTTATGCTTCAAAATGAATTTTAGGACATTTTTTTCTAGGTCTATGAACAATGACATTAGTATTTTAGTATTTTAATGCAAACTGCATTGAATCTATAGCTCACTTTGTGTAGTACAAATCAAATAATATTGATTCTCCCAATTCAAAACACAGGATGTCTTTTCATCCCCCAGTATCAGCTTCAGTGTGTCATATTCAATATAATTTGCCAGTTAAAATAATTAATTTTGAAATAAAATGAAATTTAGTTTAAAAAAAAGTATATAAGAAGAACAACAACAACAAAATAACCCTCAAGCCTTAGGATAAATCAACTATTTCCCAGTCACTCTAAAATTCTCTATCTGAATGATTTCTTGGCTAGAATCACTCTATGTGATGAAAGCCAATTATCTATTCAGTTTTAAAATTCTGGTCAGTTTTAAGTACATGGAAATTATTAAGTCTTTTATACATTCCACAACACTGAAAGAATTTAAGGCATGCATTCCATAACTAAAAGACTTTAAGTCATTTTTAATTCCACCCCAATGTCCCACACTTAGCATCAATAAAACTGGTAATCATCATTTATTGATAACAGTGAGCAATCAATTCTCCTATTTTACTACCATCCATAGAAACTTCCAAATTATCTTTATAAGATATCTGACAATTTCAAGCGCATTCTATACAAATGTCCAGTGGCTTTTTTTGTTGTTGTTTTATTGTGCTTTGTTTTGTGGTACTAGGGATGGAATCCAGAAACTCTACCTCAGAGCTACAAACCCATCCCCCCTCCTTTTTTTCTTTAATTATTATTATTATTATTATTATTATTATTATTATTATTTATTTGTATTTTTAGTTTTAGATGGACACTACCTTTTTTTGTTTATTTAGTTTTTTTTATGTGGTGCTGGGGATTGAACCCAGTGCCTCATGCGTGCTAGGCAAGCATTTTACCACTGAGCCACAACCCCAGCCCCCCAACCCCTTTTTAATTCTCATTATAATGATACTGGTCTCACCAAATTGCCCCTAGGCTGTCCTTGAACTTGTGATCCACTTGCCTCAGTCTCCTAGTAGCTGGGATTACACATATGCTTGATGAGCCTAAAGATGTAGTTAGTTTTTGTCATGTGGAAGTATGGGAAGGGAAATTTAACATTTTTTTAAAAATGTACTTGAAAAGGACTAGTCACAATCAGGGAATAGCAAGTTGTAACTTGTTTGATGATTGGAAACTTGGTTTCACAAGTAGAACAGTGGGATATAATGAAAAGTAAGTTGGAATCAGATTAATAATCATTATAAAAATAGCTAACATTTATTGAGCACACATTATATGCCAATAACAATGTATGTTTTTTATGCAACATTTTCTTTAATGACAAACCTTTCAGGTAAACACAGCCTATTTCTTCCAGTGCATCCTGGCCTGAAAAGCACATCTTTTGTTTATAGTTCCCATAAAATATCTCAATCTCTAACTAACTTTATAGACCCACTTGACTACATAAGAAAATCCAGCATTACTGTGATATCCAGTGGCTCCAATGCAGACTATTTTTATGCATCCAGACCTCTTTGCCAATATTTCCTTCACTTTCAGATAAAATTGTGGGCATATCAGCATGACCATTGGCTAGACAATGTCCAACAGCATCTGCAATCCAATCAATATTTTTATAGTTATTTCTCTGGAATTTTCCCCTTACGGTTGCTTAAGGTGTGTGTACAGTAGGTGATGAGCTGGGGAGGTGGAGGAAATGTGTTGTTGAAAAAAGCTTCTAACCACAAGTCCTAGCCTCTCCCCATCCTGGAAAGCAAGCAATTAGAGAAATGCAAATCAAAACTACTTTAAGGTTTCATCCCATTCCAGTCAGAATGGCAGCTATTAAGAATACAAAAACAAAGTGTTGGCAAGGATGTGGGGGAAAAGGCAACTCATACATTGCTGGTGGGACTACAGATTGATGCAAGCACTCTGGAAAACAGTATGAAGATTCCTTAGAAAACTTGGAATGGAATCACCATTTGACCCAGCTATCCCACTCCTTGGTTTATACACAAAGGACTTAAAATCAGCATACTATAGTGACTCAGCCTCATCAATGTTTATAGCAGCACAAGTCACAATAGCAAAACTGTGGAACCAACGTAGATGCCCTTCAAGAGATGAATGATAAAGAAACTACGGTAATATACAACAATGGAATATTACTCAGCATAATAAAATCATGGCATTTGCAGGTAAATAGAGTTGGAGAATATCATCCTAAGTGAAGTAAACCAATCCCCAAAAAACTAAATGCAGAATATTTTCTCTGATATGAGGATGCTGATCCATAGTGGAGATGGGGAGGGAGCAGGGAGGAATGAACAAACTTTAGATGTGGCAAAGGGGAGGGAGGATAAGGAGTGGGCATGGGGGTAAAGAATGCATGCCTATAAATTGTTTTGCATCTTTTGATACATTTCAGTGACACTTTTACTTTCAGTAATTTGTGCAATTATCTTATGTTTCTGGAAAATTATTTTAAAATCTTATTTCATTATAGGGGAATTCAATAATGAAAATCAAAATAAATTTCACTATGTTTATTAAACTTTTCACTAATTACATTAATAATTTTAATAATATAATATGATGTGTGATTTTGTAATATGTATTATATAATCCTTAGACATCATAAAGGTAGTTTACCAAAAGCTAATTATTAGGTGATGCTGTGGAGGACTATTGAGAAATAAGTACACAAAGCTCCACCTACTAACCTAGTATCATATTCTCTGAACTATTATAAAAGTTTAAGCTTTCTTTAATCCATTATTAATAATACTGTTAAACCTAATTATAAAAGAATTGCCAACATTAACTGAGTCCCTCTTTAGAATTAAATAATGACTTATTTAGAACTGAAACATGTGATAAGATCCTTAGGGGGTTTTCACCAAGGCACATTATCTTGCATAATTCAGGGTAACCAAACAAGAAAAGTAAGTGACTTGTGTTACATGTATATATATATTGCTGTACTGAAGGTTAAAATATGTTCATCTTCCTTTGGTCACAGGAACGTCTTATCCTTCCCATCTTCCTAACTCAGGTATAGTATTTACTGCATTATTTTGAAATAAGAGTTATCCACAGTTGAAGGAAAAACTTTTGTAGCCTTAAATTTTATCCCCAACATTACTTCTAGTAGCTAAGAAGCTAGTAATCATCAGGACTTGCTTCCAATATTTTTCTCAGCATTGTCATGGTCTAATATAGCAGAGAATCAAGAAAAATGGATCATGTAAGGAATATTATGTTCATATTTGACATAACACTTATAAATGGGATTGTAGATAAACTGAAGTACCTTTAGGATAAAGCTACTATAGTACAGAGGATATTCAAGACATATCATACTTGAATTGATTGAAGGAGGCAATTTGTCCAACTATTCAATAGGAGTCCTGTGATAGCCAGCTTCAATATTTAGTGATCGTTAAAAAGAAGAAGAAGAAGAGGAAGAAGAAGGAGGAGGAGGAGGAGGAGGAGGAGGAAGAGGAGGAAGAGGAGGAAGAGAAGGAAAAGAAGAAGAAAAAGGAGAAGGACTAGAGTGAAACTTAATAGGGAAAAGGTGTTTTATAGAAGAGAGACTAATAAAGAATTAAAGGATGGGGGAGGGGCAGAGAAGGATAGTGGGAGGTGGATAGAATCAAAGTATGTTACATGTATGCATGAATATACCACAATGAAAGCCATTATTCTGTATAATTAGTATGTATGGGTTTTTTTAAAGAGTCAATAAAACACAATGGAGGATGTAGATGAGAAAAGGGGGCTTTCTTCCTTTTTTTTTTTTTTTAGCTCCTGTCAATATTCTTCCCAGAAGTCAGAAAACTTTTTCTACGAAGAGCTGGATATTAAATACCTCAGGTTTTGCAGGCCACAGGGTCTCTATTACAACTACTCAGCTCAAATAATATATAAATGAACTAATGTTGGAGAAAAAAGAAGTAACTTTTAAAATTAAAAAAGGGACTGTGGCAAAAAATATTTAACAATGTTTCAGTAATAATAATAGACAATTATATGAACCTAAGGTAGAAGTGTAATGTATCTATAAACTCATCACTTTCTCCAGAGGTATCTCTTCAGATGAATGCATATTCAGAGTTCTATCACTTTGGTGTGCTTACTTGCAAATTAATGTCTTTCTCAGTAGTATCTTAAAGATTACCATGACCAACAGAGAAAAATTTTAAAACAAGGTTTTACATTAACTTCCTTGCAATTGGAGATGTTTGTTAGTGATATGAATTATGATAGTCCAAGTTTTACTATTATTATAGTTCTCAAATATTTTTTCCTTCTAAAGGAAATAGGAAAAAATTGCTGCTATATTCTGGGATTCCAGCCTGAGAATGAATAAGAAAGAAAGAAAGTCTACATTTGTAGTAAAGAATAAGACAGATATTTATTAATAAAAACTGTCCATCTGACCAAGGATATCTGTTCCCACAAAAGTTTTTGAACTCTACAAAAAGCCACAAATTTTATTCCTTAAAAATGTAATTTTTTCAGAGAGTAAGATAATTTTATAACATGTAAGTCTCATAAATACCTCATTTCTTCCAGAGACAATGGTGTTAGCAGGCATATGTTTCGTGGTACTTCTGCAACACGCTGCAGGCATGGTATGGATTTAATCTAATAATAAATTTTGAGCCCTATTAGTAGGATTGCCTCAACCATAGCTCCAGTGGCTGTTATATAGGAAATTATGATAGTGTCAAGTGTTCTGAGACAGAGAATGGAAAGACATATTATCTGGCCACATAATACACCTTTAACTTCATCTTGTTCTCATCACTGTGTATGTTTAATGACTAAGTTATCAGACAAAAGGAAAGAGTAACTCTTGTGAACTTATTAATACTATAGGGTGAGCAGTAAAACAGTAGATCTGCAATACAAACACCAGATATAATTATAATGATATGTATAGTGTGGTATTGAGAATAGTAGATTGAGAAGCAAGGGGACAGTGAGCCATTAGAGAAATATGTGAATTTTTATTGTAGAAGTGAAACACATCCCTCTCCTTTCTAAAACAGGAAATTCAGTCAAGTAACAAGAGATCAGCATATAAGTTTCCACTTCCTTTCACCCTCATTGGGAGAGTCAGCTCTTAGGTAGACATAAGGATAAGTAGAACACTGAAATTACACTGTGTACCAGAAGAATGGAAACTGATTTTATACCTCAAACTAGAATGATTGCTGTAATTTAGCTTCTGTCTTTATTTAAAGGAATAGTGTTTTAGTCTGACTTCTAAAGAACTAAAGCTTTTTGCAGTCTAAAATGTAAAATGTGCTTAAAGAAACCAAAAAGGTAAAATAAATTTTACATACCTCAAAGGAAGATAAGTAAAATCAAGTTATCCCATAGTTAGGTATCTGCAGAGTTTTTCTTAGTATCTTTGCCAACCGCATAAATAGATGGGTGTCAATACAGGAGAGGAAGAATTTTAAATGAAGTTTATTTACACTATTTCCTAGATGGTAGCTGTATTCCGGGTGCCAGTGTGTTGATTTGGAAGGACTCTGTTTAGCATCAAAAGAGTTTGGTTCAGCCAAGTGTAGTGGACTTTCTCTGCAGTTTCAGCTACTGGGAAGGCTGAGGCAAGAGAATCACTTGAGGCCAGAAATTGAAGACAAGCATGATAAACATAGCAAGACCCCATCTAAAAAAAAATTAAATATATGTGTGTATGTGTGTGTATTATGTACATGTGTATACATACACATATGATTATATGTTTTATATCTATGGATATACATATTGTGATATACATATGTAATATATATAATATATATATATATATATATATATATATATATATATCCCAAGCAGAGAGAATGAGAGAGAATTTGGTTTAAATCTTGGCCTAATATTGTTAACTTTCCAAAGGAGATTAAGGATATTTTTCACATATTCCAATTTCTAGGGTCCTTATCTATAAAATGAGCACAGAGCATTAGCCAGTGTCTATTAACATTGACTAATTGTCTTAACATTGCCCATTAAAGAGGTGTTTATCTGATCTAGAATATTGCATTTTTCCAATGAGAAAAATAACTACCACAATGGCTTGCTTTGAGAATTAAATTATATAACAGTAGTTCCATAAATAGCAGATATTAAAATTATTTCACCATTTTTTAAGATGTAAAGAAAACAGAACATATTGATGAGTGTTGCTAAGGTTGATCACATGGCATGTGCCTACTTAGTACTCCCTGCTACCTTCCAGGGGATCTGCTGTACCTCAAGAATTTCTGTCATTTGCTTTTGGACTCTTTCCTGAATGATGTGATCTGTATCTTTGAAAACATATTTAGCATTCTTCCCACTTATTATCCACGTACTGCTTTAAGTTATAAATGACTATTTTTGCTGCCTTGTGCTCTATTTGGAAAAGCAAAACTAGTAGTGTATATAAGGTGAATTTGAGGTAAGGTCTGTGTATAGTAAGAAAAGAAATTAGATATTAGGCTACTGAAACAACCTTATGCAGAAGAAAGGATGGATTTAGCATACTCATATACTTGTGTGTCTTCTGAAATTATATTTCCTAGAAGCCTATAGTATTTTGCCAACTACTTCATTTAATTTTGACCACTGGTTAAAAAAAAGTGATTACTAATAAAGAAATAAAAAAGCATGTGAGTTCATTCATAGCAAAATGCCTATTGTAGTAAACTGTTTTCTAAAAATGTAGTGGTAGCTCCAGTATGCTACCCTCATTATTGAAATAGAGCCCAGAGGTACCAGAGATCTGTTATCATTTATTAATTTGCCCTCCTAAGTTTAAGTAATCAGTTCCTGGTTATAAAGGAAAAAAAAAGAGAGATGCTCACATAACTCAGTCCACCTTTCTGAATCTGTTTCCTGCAAAACAAAGAAGAATCTTTTACTTAGAGTCTAGGCAGGGAACAGATTTCCACAGGTGGTTTGAATGAAGATCTTCAGTGAGGGATGTTTATGTACAGGAAGAATAGGGTTGGAAGGAACATGAATGGAGAATGACAACAGCAGGAAGCCTTTCTACTCCTAGGCCTGAGGGATGCAAGGAGGAAATGAAAGAGTGTGAAGCCACCAAAGTGGATTAATAATGCAGGAAGCTATTCCCAGAAATGAAGTGCAGAAGTCAAAGGAGTAAACAAGAAGTGCCCCACCTCTCTCCTCACCCTCAGTTCCTCCAATTCCTCCCTTTGACCCAGAAAACTGGAAGAAAGCCCAGGCAGTGCAAGCTGGAAGGACCAGCTTCCTGGCACAAGTCATGGCAGAAAAGGGTGGATAATAACTGGATTGAGCGAGACAGCAATTAGAAAAGAATCATCACAGTCTTGTACTAGACAGTTTCCAAGGGTTCATTGTGCTTTCATTGTCCTTAATTTCTTTTTTTAGAGAGAGAGAGAGAGAATAATTTTTTTAGTATTTATTTTTCAGTTTTCAGTGGACACAACATCTTTATTTTTTTATGTGGTGCTGATGATTGAACCCAGCGCCCCGCACATGCCAGGCGAGCGCATTACCGCTTGAGCCACATCCCCAGCCCTGTCCTTAATTTTTAAATGGATAATTTTTTTCAGTTTTTAAACATATGCTCTTCTGTAAAACATTTTGGTACTGGCATAAAAACAAACACATAGATCAGTGGGCCAGAATAGAGGACAGAAACAAACCCCATAGCTACAGTCATCTGACTATTGATGAAAGTGCCAAAAACATGCATTGGTGAAAAGACAGCCTCTTTAACAAATGATTCTGGGAAAGTATATATCCATATGTAGAAGATTGATATCCATAACAATTAATAAATGGGCAAATAATTTTTTTCCAGACAATTAACCACTGAGCCACATCCCCAGCCCTATTTTATATTTTATTTAGAGACAGGGTCTCACTGAGTTGCTTAGCACATCGCTTTTGCTGAGGCTGGCTCTAGACTATGATTCTCCTGCCTCAACTTCCCTAGCTACAGGTGTGTGCCACTGCACCAAGCTAAGGAGACACATTTCTTATCTTTTGACTGGTACAAAAGTCAACTCAAATGGATCAAAGACTTAACTATAAGAATTTTTTTCTGTTAAAAGAAAAAAAGGGCGAAACACTTTAATGTGTATGTGCAGGCAATTCTTCCTGAATAAGATCACCTATAGTTCAGTAAATAAGAAAAAGAATCAATAAATGGGATGGCATCAAATTGAAAAACTCTGCACAGCAAAGAAAACAATAAACTGAGTGAAGAAACAACAATAGAATAAGAGAAAATTCTTGTCAGCTACTCCTCTGACAGAGGACTAAGATCCAGAATATATGAAAAACTCAAAAACCTCAAATTAAAAAAAAAACAATCAATAAATTGGCAAATGAATTGAACAGACACTTCTCAAAAGAAGAAGTACAAATGGCGAATAACTATATAAAAAATATTCAACAATTTTGGTGATCAGGGAAATGCAAATCAAAACTACACTGAAATTCTATCTCATTCCAGCTAGAATGACAAGTATTAAGGATGCAAATAGCAATAAATGCTGATGAGGATTCAGGGTAGAAAAAGAACTCTTACACACTAAGGTTAATTATATAAATTAGAAAAGCCACTAATCATTATGGGGGTTCTCCAAAAAGCCAAAATTAAGTCTATCATGTAATTATATTTTACCACTCCATATTTATCTAAAATTAAAAGCAACATATTTTAGAGATGCGTGCATGTCCATGTTTATTTCAGCACAATCCACAGTAACCAAGTTATGGAATCAACCTAAGTATCTGTCCTCAGATGGATGGATAAAGAAAATTTGCTATACCTATACAATGGAGTTTTATTCTGCCATAAAGAAGAGTACAATGATGTCATTTGCAAGAAAATTGGTGGAACTAGAGACCATTATGTTGAGCAAAATAAGTCAAACTCATAGACAAAAGTATCATATGTTTTTTCTCGTATGTGCAAGCTAGAAGGGTTTAAAAAAAAGACTATAAAATTAGAAGAGAGATTAACAGAGTAGAGAAAGGATACGGGGGGGGGCAGATAAAGGGCAGAGGAGATATTGGTTACTAAAATTAATTCAATTGTGATTTTATATATGCATAAATATGCCACAGTAAAATACATCATTCTATATAATTAATATGCACTAATAAAAACTAAACATTAAAAATGTTCCTCTGTTTATACTCTTATATAGATAGAAAATGACAATTTCTTGAGGTTTAAATATACATATGCACAGAAAACATGTTCTTATAAGATATACTGAATATTGTTGGCAAGTGAACCCTGAGATGCTACTCATTTTTAATTTGATTAATATATAATATAATATAGGCTTCCTCTGTTTCTCTATATTTTAAAAAAAAATGGTATTATCTGCATTTTGAGTAAATCTGTCTTGCTGGCTATCATGTGGGTCACAGTCTGTTTTTGCAGAGCTCCAGAAAGTATTTCTTATTGGAATTTTGTGGTACAATTAGGCCACTGATGAGGATTTTAAATTCTTGCATTGTTGAGAGACAGGATCATGTGTAGACAAGTTACAGATCATATTAATCTATTACTAATGGCAAAAAATGAGTAATTCAAAAAGACAAGCCCATGTTTCCCAGAACAATTCTGTAAATTAGACATGTAATTCTCAAAGCACAGTCCCTGAGTACTTATTAGAAATGCAAATTATCTGGTCCCACCCTGGCTTCCTGAATCAGAAACTAGGAGATGGAGGGTAGCATTCTGCAGGTTAAAAAGTCCTGGGTAACTGCTGTCATTATTAAAGTTTGAGATCATAAAACTAAACATTTTATCAATTACTATATTGATAGAGTAAATTGTAATTCTGTTACTTTGATATTCAATGTTGCAACTTTGTTAACTTCTTGCTTCTTTTTAAAGGCGAATGTCTCATTTTTCTCTTTATTGACCCATCATCCATCAGTTCAAATGGAGATTACTAATAAGCACAATGATCTTAGGAGGATGACAAATCCTAGAGCTAGCAATATGCTTAAAATGGTAAGCCTACATTGTCAATGAATCATTACAATCAGCATTTAGCTATTAAACAATGGACATTAAACCAGGATCTATAGTTTTAAAATAATCTATTTATATTACTGAATAGTTGTCACCTCAGTGTCTGGAACTGGCCATTAAATATAAAATTTTGAACTGAAAAACAAAAGTTAATTCTATAAGCACAGATGGGGGTATAGTTAATGGGTAGATGATATACAAGAAACCTTACAGATTAAATAAAATGAATAGACACCAAACTGCAAATGAAATCTTAGGATCTATAATAAAATATGGTGAATAGATTTGTAAATTGAAAGTCTTGCTCTTTTCTGCTATGATTAGTTCTTAAATTATATAAATATATGTATTTAGACAGTACACTGATCAAAGGGTCATATGAAGATATTTATTAGCATGATAGAATGCTTATACCAAAATACAACAAAGCAGGAGATATTTATACACATAAAGAATATCAGGAGGATATGATGGTTGGTTTCGGGCTAGTTATTAAATCTGTAAGTTCCTCAAATTTCTTTCTAGTAGTGGAATTAACTCAAAATTTGCTGTACCTTTGTGAGAATAAATAGATGATATTAATGTAAATAAAAAGCCACATATGTATGAGTACTTAACAAAAATTAGTTTTTTCTTTCTCTTCTAAATTCAAGTATTTAAAGTGTTATCATATAAAAAGTAGATTTGTTGGGACAGATCAAATATCTTTGGAAGTATATATAGCTAGGTAAGTTTTTAAAACCAAAACTAACAATTTGCTACAATAATCTGTCTTAGAAGGCATATATTTCATTTACAGGCTAAATACTATGCTTTATAGGAGTTTTACATTTTTAAAAATATTTTTTTAGTTGTAAATGAACACAATATCTTTATTTTATTTATTTATTTTTTATGTGATGCTGAGGATCTAATCCAGTGCCTCACACTAGGCAAGCACTCTACCACTAAGCCACAACCCCAGCCCAAGAGGAGTTTTCAATGACAAATAAGAAATAAAATCTGTTCCCTCTCTAATTCACTCCAATTCTGAGATGCTATGAAAGTTGGTGCTCAATCTAGATTTCAGGAAGGAATTTTTCTACTGAGTCTTTCTTTTCTAAGTAGTTCTTTTGTGCTGGGTGCAGGGAATAAATACCTCAGGACTCTAATAAGTAACTGTTGTTGCCTTCTCAAAGATATAAGATAACTTTGCTCTATTGTAAACATCTTTTCTCATCCTACTCTGAAAAATTCTTTCTTCTTCAAAAGCAGTCTCTAGGAATCTTTGCTTAACTTGTCAGAATTATAATAATAAAATATTTATTTATATTGATTTTCCTAGATTTTTTGAAATTTTGGGATATGGGATAGAGTGGGCATTTATCTTTTCCTTCACAACTGTGAAGTATAACACAGACTTTTCTAATGTTGAATGTAGCATCTGAGAGTATATTAGTCTATGAAAACTATTACATTTATAGTACCAATTACAGGGGCCAAACAGCACATGCTTAGATCTCAGTTCTTATTAGTTAGATATAATCATTAAAAAAAAATGTTTTGTCCTTCTAAAAGATTATGCCCACAGTTTTAAAATGTTTATTGTGCTTCTGGAACACTAGATGACTATTTTTCCCAAAATATTTTATTCTATGATCCCTAGATAGATATATTGTGGTAACTCAATAATTTAGGAAGCAAGAAATGTGTCTTTTATTAGAATTGGGGGAAAATGAGGAAAGATAGAAAATGATTCTTCAGACAGGTGTTTGTTTTCAACATAGTCATATACTTAACCATTATATTGTGAAACCATCCTATTTTAACTTGTAAATGTTTGTCATGTGTCTTGAGAACTGGAATGCCGAAGTTGCCAAGAATGCTGAAAAGTGGGCAAACAGGTGCACCCTGTCTCACAGCTCAAGAAGGCAACGAAAAGTTAGTTGTAAGTCAAACTTCTAATGACTAATGTGGTGGCATTTTTTAAAATTTTTTAGTTATAGGTGGAAGCAATATCTTTATTTTATTTTTATGTGGTGCTGAGGATCAAACCCAGTGCCTCACGCATATTAGGTGAGCCCTCTACCTCTGAGTCACAACACCAGCTCCACGTGGTGGCATTTTTAAAAGCTAAAGATTAATTAACTATGAACCAGCATGGTAGTGTATGCCTCTAATCCCAGAGCTCCAGAGTCTAAAGCAGGACAATCCAGAGTTCAAAGCCAGCCTCAGCAATGGCCAAGCACTAAGCAACTCAGTGAGACCTTGTCTAAATGAAATACAAAATAGGGCTGGGGATGTAGCTCAGAGGTCCAGTGTCCTTGAGTTCAATTCCCAGGACCCTCTCTCCCACCCCTACCCTGCCTGCCCCCCCCCAAAAAAATATTAACTATGAATGAGGAAGAGAATAAGTTTGGAAATGAAGGACTTGCTTCATATATATATATATATATTACCAT